ACCGTTTATAAGCCGATTCTGTATAGTGTTGATTTTATCGTGCATAGAATTACATTTGTACTTCGAATTCAATGTAGAACTCCTCAAAAACGCTAACATAATAACAAGTAAGAACATTATAGTCGGGCAAGGCCGACTATTAAATACCCCGCATCACATTGTTCAGGACAAATCTTTTTTTTATTATAGAACAAAAAATTATATCTTGTTTCCATATATAGGTATAGTTTTCGTGTCCGTTTAAGGAAACGCGGGCTCAAAACGCATCCTAGCCTTGTACATATACAGTCCTTACTTAGGGTAGGATCCAAGGATCCAAAAAAGGACGGTCCAAATTTTGGAGAGGTAATTTTTGTTTGAAATTACTATACTATTATGGGTCAACTTCCACGTTAAACTTTTCTGCTCTACAGGATCAGTTTTTGCGAAAGTCGTTATTAGGATGGCATCTAAAAAATAGGCTGAGATGATCAAAATTTGGCACAGTTAATTTTTTTATGTTCAAAAACCATTGCGAAAGAATTTTCATCGTGAAGCATTGAAAGACGAAGAAAAAATTACAGCTTTTTTTTTATATACTTCAGTTTTCGCTATATGAAAAGGGTTAAAAAATTGCACCAGCCGATGCAAAGTTTTCATACCAATGGCGAAATACTACTACTTAACGACTTTTGCCGAAAAATTTTGAAAATTACAATTTTTCTCTGAACAGGACGTTATGTGGGGTGTGGTCAAAAAAGTGGACCGATCTGAACCATTTTCAATAGAGTTTTTGCTTCTTTTATTGCTATTGCAAAAAGAAATGACATCGGAAAGTTGCTGATGGTACAAAAAATTATGTACAAACACAAATGAAACCAACTGTAGCAAGTACGGTATGCACAATATTAATGTAGGTCGGCTGCGTAAGTTTCCTGTTAGAAAATCTTCGACATCGCCACTTACGAATGACTTACTTTCCAATAAGTAAGAAAATGCAGACAAAGTCACAAAATATCTAAACAACTTATAAAGTTTAAAAAGAAATTGGTGTTGTGAGTTCTTATTCGACTTAGGCGCAACTAAACCAACTAACCTTTAAAGCCATTGCTATAAAATGAAGCCTGCAATACGCCTCTTTCACACAGAAGCAAGATGGAGACGCGTTTAGGAAAACTGTCTTAGGTATCTCACGTCTGTAAGGTCGATGAATTAGGTAAACCATCTATTCAATCATTTTATCAGACAAAGTGTATTATGTTTAAGAGTGATACGATATTAATCAATTAACATTAGAAATCAACAGCTAATTAGCGAAACCGGGGACTTGATAATATATTGAATAAAGTTGACTTCGCTCTTATTAAGAAAATGTTGTCGACTCGTATGAAGGGATGATTGGTCACAAATTATTTACCGTATATGCCGGCAATGCAAAGAATTGAAACTTTCTTAAAACGTGAACGAAAACAGTGTATTAAACCTTCTTCCGAGCCGGTGCTTTATTAGGAAAAGGGCTTTCAATCAATTGGAAATATTAACTACTTGCTTTAGGAATTGAATTGAGCACTGTTTTCATATTTCTCTCCCTCGTCGAAGTGGGAGTATATGAAATTCTCAATTCACATCATCGACTCAACAAAAAGCTGTTCGAAATAAGAAGGTAACATGGGCAGAAACGCATTTTAGTCACCATGTTGGTAAAAGTTTTGCAAACTAAATATTTTAAAGTATTTTTGAAGCAAAAATAATATTTGTAAAAATTGTTATATATAAATTTATATATAAAGCTTTATTTGTACACTTGCCCATTTTCCACATAATAATCGTATATCTTAAAAAACAAAAATGGTTGTTTACAAGTCGGTTTCATTGCTAATCTAAGTCTAAAGACCATGTGTTTACCGGGTCCCCAGTCATGTAAATAAAACATTTTCTAAGGAAATTCTTTGAATTTATTTCATATTAATATTTAAAAATACTTTAGCTTTCATAACATGTATAATAAATTATTTTGCTCTAGTACTTTAATTGGTATTCTTTAATGGGATTTTGTTAATCAAATTGAAGCTTTTAAACTAGGAAAATAACTTTTTGCTTATAAAAAACCTTTGCATGTGAATCGCTACGTAATAACAATCAAGTCATAATTCAAAAAATTTATTCTTCACATATTTTTCTTTTTGATATTTTTTTTGAAAACAGAGAAAAGAGCCAGGGATTATTTTCATTACTATTGCTGCAGATACGAAAGGTCTCGTTAAGAGTTAATTTATAAGCACGAAATAATGAATTCAATGAATAAATTGGATCTGTAATAAGATGTCAACAGACCAATATTTACATGCAAAGAAGTTTTGTAGTCGTCATCCAAGAAAAGGGGTATACTAGTTTGGCTACACTATTGGTAAAGACCGTAATAATTTTTTATGGTAGAGACTGATCTGAAAAGCTTTGTTTGTTCACCCATATCTAAGCTTCCGTCTGTTTGCCATGCATTATTCTCAAAAGTCTCCATTTGTTACTTCATGCCCCTAAATGTTGTGCAAGATAAGTATTTAATTGAACGCTTCGCAACCATACCCACGATCATCACAACACTTCCCATCTATCGCAGATATTCGTAGAAAACTTATGCAAATACATCTTCGACTCATATAAAACTTTTATAAAGGCATGGCTTCAATTCGACCACTGATACAGCCGATTGTAACGTATCAGAGATACTTTTCAAGCTGAGCACAATTTACGCCCCGTTTTTTTTCATATTTTTATCATTTTCATCACTTACTCTCTTTTTGGGTTCTGTCGAATGAAATGAAAAACACAACTTTATTTTTTTTTTATGCACAAATTAATCTTTTTGCCTGGCTATGCCAAAGTCTACTCTATCTCATTTCAGTGAACGTGCAACCATTCTAAATTTGATTGTGCCTGATATACAATTACTTGGTTTTTTTTTTTTTATATATATACGAGTACAATTTTTCTTCCACACAATTTAAACAACATTAAAATAGTCTATTGCCATTGGTCCAGCGAAGACGAGCAGGGAGCAAAAATAATTTAAAAAAATTTTTTTTTCGTTTTATATGTTACATAGATTTACATCTGGGCAGCAATGCACTATTAAGTACTGTGCAGTTTATGCCTTAAGTTTTATGTAGCTATGTGCATTGGTCAGAGACGCAGATGCAGACTTAAAAACAGCTAGTAAATGTACAAATAATGCTATGAAAACAGTATGTGAAATGAATGAACTTCTACACTGCACTACACATAAACCGGTATAAAAAAAATGTAAAAAGCAATATTCACCTTAAGACGAATCTTTGATATGTACTACCCTTGCCGCGATTCGTAAAAAGTAAAGAGCATTTCGTTATTCGTGAATGTGCCAGTTGACCGTGATGATGGCAATGATGTTGTTATGGTAGGTAGATGCTAAATATTTATACAAAACTTAAGGTAAATGTGCCTGTATACAGTTACATAGTCTGTCAATATATTATTAAAACCAATATTTTCCAATTTCTTCTCTTTGAGTTCCTTCTTCCCAATTTTTAGATTTTACGTTGTCTTCTTTATAACGTACAGCCGGTATATACAAAAAAAAAGTTGAATCTTCCCGTTTTTTGAAGAGCTCCTGTTTTTTTTCTATAGTTTGGACAAAGGCTGGTACCTTCGTATGTAAAAATGCGAACATTGAATAATCCTCTCATTTTTTTTATATAAGCATAAAAAATCTTGCGTAAGCCTAGTTTAAGGCATATACAAGCACTATTATCCTTCAAGGGAAGTATCCAATTTTTTTTTAGAACGATAGTTATCACGGAGCATGTGCAATGTAACATTAAATTATATGTTAAAAATGGAAAAGAGTTGTTGTTTCAATGTATATCGCAATTTAACTGAAAATTTTAAAGATTTAAAGTGTGTTTGAAATAGTTGATATGAAATCTACATTTTAATCGATTCCTGCTTGAATTTGATAGTTATGAAAATCGCAAATGAAAAAAATTGCGCCGAACCTTTTGCAGCCATTCTAGACAATGCGTTAATATTTCACTGACGTAAAGTTTTGGCGATTGGTAAAAGGTGGTTGGTAGGTATCGTCACACTTGGTTCGCGCCTCTGCTAAGGTAATTGATAACTGAACGATATTGAAAAATATCAAATTGATGAGAAAAACTAAACAAAAATATAAAATACAAATATAAACAAAACAAGAAATCATACAGAAATATAATAAAAAATTAAAAAAAAAATTGATTGTTACTATTTACAGAAACAATGCATATAAGATACGAGATTTCGCCAGCAAAATTTGCGCAGCAAAATTGTTATACCCTACACCACTGGTGATACAGTGCATTTTAACTTCGTAAGGTCATATGTAAACACGCAGAACGGCTTAAGATAGACAGCATCATTATCTGAATTGATCTAAGCCTATCTGCCCGTCTAACCGTCTGCCCGCTTAACCGTCTGCCCGTCTGATGTCTGTGTATGTAAATTTTTGTTCAAGCTACAAGTGGCAATTTTTGAGATATTTTAATGAGAGGTTTGGCCCAAGGACGAACGCTATTGAAAATGGTTCAGATCGGTCCAATTGTTTGGATCCCACCCTAATAACAGTTTTCGCGAAAAATTCCTTGTTAAGTAGAAAAGTCAGTTTTAATGTGTGGTGATCGAAATTGACGTATAATATTATAGTAATTTCATATAAAAATGAACTCTGCAAAACTTGGACCATCTACCTATTTTTGGATTCTACCCTATGTAAGGATTAAACTTGTACTACATTAGGTTGCTTTTTGGGCCCGCTTCCCCATAAATATGCACATGAAAAATATGCCTTTATACACCTTTATATAGAAACAAGATACAATTTGTGTGCTCTGTAATAAAAATAAGAATTGTGTTAGACAATGTGGTGTAAGGTATTTAAGGATCGGCCTTGCCCGAGTATGTGTTTTGACTTAATTTTAATTAAGTATTGAAATTAGAACTTTACTCACGATGTTGTAGTACCACCACGCGGCATTTTGTTTAGATGGCAATCACGCATTTACACAACTTTAAAAATATCTAAGACAATTGAACGCTTGCACAAAACGAATTCTCTAAGAATGTTTTTCTTATGTACAGGATAGTATAAAATTAGCCACGCAGCGTCAGTGCATATAAAATTATTTGTTTAGCTTTTCTTTTAACAACTAGCAACAGAATTTTAAATAGGAATTATGTACATATTATGTCGCGTGCAGTAATTTTTTCTTTTTTCTCTTAGTTTAATTTAATCTCGCTAATTTATTTCCCAGTTTTTCTCTTTTAATCTATTTACGTAACAACTCATTCTTTGTCGTTAGTATGTTTTCTCATCTTGTGTGACGTGAAAGGATTTTTGAGATAATGTAGTACATCCATTCCTCTCCGTCCATTGGGTTTAAAAAAAAAAGTTTCTTATTTGGATATCCGTATTATATCCTACTTGTCTAACTCTACAAATAATGTTTTTCACCTATTGCGTTAATGCCACAGAGTAGGGGTTGAGAGTGTAGGTGGCTTTTAGCGGGTGAAAGGCACGCACTTTAAAAGAGGCTGGCACTGGATGTTTTCGCACCTCCAAAAAACAGAAACACATTGCGTTAGAGCTACATTTAAAAGCAAATAAACGGGGAATAATCTAATCGAACTTTCTGTGAATGTTATTAGGAGGAAAAGGGCACTTCCTCAAGCAATCCTATAGCTCTACAAGAGTCGTTATTAAAGAATCCCGATTATGAATAGCACTTAAATTACTTTGAAATCGAAAACCTGGAAGGTAAAGAAGAACAAACAATTGACATGACAGCCAAATTACCCTGAACTGTGACTCAGAAATCGAAGTATGTTTTATTTCATTGTCTAAAATAGCTTGGAAATAAACAATAGCGCATATTATCATTTTAATAACGAATCACACAAAGTTTGAAAATTAGAAGTTAATTTAGATACCTGGCAAGCAAGGCACGCATTTTGTGGAGTGTTGATCTGATCATATTTAAAGAATACGATACCGCATTTTGTGTAGTGTTCATCTGATCATATTTAAAGAATACGATACCGAGATAAAATTAGAGGTATCATTTAGATTTTTGCAGGACGCCCTGAACGGACGCACTGGCTAAGTTTTATGAAAATAAAATTTCTCGAAGTACGGTCAGGATAGAGAAATTAATCTCTAATAAGATAGACGAGCCAGTAGCACCATTTATTAACTTACCTAAGAGCGAAACACCTAGGAATACCAAAACCTAAACCTGAAACTAGAACTAAAAGCAATCTCTTTCCATACGGCGCCAAGGAGACCAGCGAATCCCACCTCAAATTTCTAAGGTCGATAGCGGCAGAATTTTTAAGAGTAACTCTATTGAATCAACGTAACACCCATCGGAAGGAGCCCACCAACCAAGTGTTGGTCGCATCAAACTCGTTTGCAATCTCGTTGTTATCAGTCGTCAAACTTATTGGACAAACATCTAATAAAACCAAACACTGAAGGCCTTTGTTAATAGACAGCTCAATGTGCAGATTAAAACGTTACCTTTGGTCAGATAAAACCCCTAAATCCACGAACCAATCGGATTGTAGAAAACAGGGGAGCGATTTCGAGGTAAACGACAACTTAACATCATCCGCCTACATTTAATCACCGACGGAAGATCACTAATGTACAAAAGAAATAGCACGCATGTACTAAGTTACTTAAGTTATTTAAAATGGAATTTCTATTAAAGGCGGCAGTCAGAACGGATAACATATCACCGAGCACGAAAACAAAAACTCTTTTAGCGATTAAAGTTGTAAGCTAAGAACATAAAAAAAAAGTCTAAAGTTCGAAGTACGTGGTATAAGTGTGGTCCAAAAGTCGAGATTTACTTACCCAAGATAAAAATATCTTTCTTCCATAGAATTCTACGAAAACACAATAAAGATAAAGTGCTTACTTCTTTTTTTACTGGCATTTCCATATGCAGACCTACAGAATCATATTCCCTCTTGACCTACCGAAATTCCCAGTCGATATGATCGTATCTTGTAAGTCGGGTTTTCTGCATTTCCGAATCTCGAACGACGTACGAAAGCGAAACTTTTAAAATTTGTCCAATACTTGTCTTTTTTAATTAATGTTAGCAGTTTGTAATCAAGCAAACAACGCTTCTTCAACGCCTGAAGATTTTCGACGAAATTATTGATAATGACCATGTCTTATATATATGTGAAAATTCGAAAGAAGGGAAGATCACATAAACATAGAAAGTATATGATTACAAACGCTTGCGTAAACTTATCACATGAGTAAAACAATTCCTTCATATTGCTGCACTCGAAAATTTTTGAGTACTAACTCAGAAATGGCTTAAGAACCTCTGCTTGAAATGCCTGACTAAATAAATTAAAGCCCAATGATCTGCTTCCCAAAAACTAGGTTACGGATTCTACCAAGTGAATTATTAGCAAAAGCATAGCAATAATATTTACAACAATTTATTATACGCAGTATTGTGTAACCACGATATTGTATTATAGAATACTTACTAAACACACACATGCATATGCATATAACATAGTCTATTAACAATTGACAATACAACAAAAAGCAATTATAGAAAAGGCGAAAGATTACAGAAATTGGAGATATGATCGCAGTTCTAATTAATATAACAAATCTTCATAAGGCTGCTGGTATGTCAAATTTCATGAACTGTATAATGATGTTTTGGGGAAAAAGAGTACCGTTACGAAATAGGGCTGCAAGAAATGCAATCGCGCAAATCAGCCGAAAAATCTATCAAAACTATTTAATTCATTCCATTGTCAATTCATTGCAAAGTAATTTGGTACCATGTAAAACCGATTTAAAATTCTTCAAATGGGAGAGAAACGGAAGCTTTGCAAAGACCATCTGTAAAGTTGACAAAAAGACAAAAAGAGAGATAGATAATAATTTTCATCATTTTATCACCCATAAACCTATACAGTCGTTACTACTACCGGGAGGTATACTAATAGATATGTGAAATTGTTTTTAATATAAGACTGCGAAAGAACGCATAAACCAACAACTAGGTAAGAAAAAGTTACGAGGAATAGAGATACATCAATATACTGACTGATTAAGTAAAGCCAACGAATTCGGTGCAGGCCATAGAATTACTCATCTGAGAGAGACTATAAAATTGCTGCCACGAATCAATTTTGAATTGTTCAGATGTAATGCATGATATACAAATTCAACCGATTGTTTTATTGAATAAAAGTCAATTTGCAAATAATGTCTGTAATTACTTGATATATTGCCTAAACACATATACGTCTTCCTGAAAAGACAGAGAGAGACAGAAGGTAACATTTCTCATCAGAGTAAAACAGTAATAAATCTAAAGTAATCAAGTAGTTAACTGAAGCTTCGTGTAACACGTATGTAACATATGTAATCAATATTTAACACGTCTTCCGCTAAGAGCGATCCATTGCTAATTTGCCAGCAAAATTAAAATAAAGGATGATCAAAAATCTCATATCGAAATTAAAGATAATAATTTCGTACTTAAAATTCAGCTCAGTTATGGAAACCTTAGGACAACAGAAGATATCTTTATCACCCATATACTTTGCATTGCTTTGCAGACACAAGTAACAAAATATTTTTCTTCTCTTGTTTTCCCTTAATTCTTTTGAATTTTTAATGTACACAAACCTCCACGTCTACAGTGATTATCATTTTAAATTAACTTTGTAGCCAAATCTTTTAAAATTATTTTCCCTTTAATTATGCTTTCTGCTGAACTCATCTTGATATAGGGTAACTGAGAAAAATGTATATGATGCAACATAACGAACGCATTCAGTACAAAAGCAACGAAACAAAATGACCCATTTCACTTTATTTTGTACAATTTTCATATTCGAATAACCGGCATAGATTTTAAGTTTTTCCGCACCTAAAGTGTTATGTTATATTAATTAATTTAAAGGAAACTGCGCACTGTCGCTTTTAAATTCTTTGCTATTGACGCGCACTCTTGCAACAATGTTTACAAAATATTTAAATTTTTCTAATATGTATTTTTCGATCACGATAACTTTAAAAAGAAAAATTAAGCAACGATAATGAATATTAATTAAAGTTTCTTTATTTTTTTTTTTTAGATTTTCTTGTGGTTTGACGCTTTAATAAGTTAGGTATTACACATCAACTTTAATTTTATATTAAAAAAACAGTACCTCCGCCTTTCTTGATTTCTTGAAATTCACTAAAAAAAATCACAAAAAACAGAAAATGTATAGCTCTATTTCTTTCTCTCCCTCTCTTTCAGAGACAAGTAAAATATTCGAAAAAATCTCCTCTCAAAGTTAAAATTTTTTTTGGCTTTTACTGAGAATAAAGCTCATTTTTCTTATGCAGAGGCTTCAATAAGTAGAGATTAATAAAATTTAATTTTTGAGCATAAAATTTCGGATGCTAAAAAACACATGTTCGAAGGAAGCGGAATGGTATGCTGATGATGCACAATTTTATCTCTTTTTATCTCTCGCGCTAGCTTGGACTTGTGGACGATCTGTTGCAGCGAAGAAATGAAGACTTTGGTCTTACTATTTTCTGGTCCGATTTTAATAAATTAAAGTTAAATGTAAGCAAAAGCAAAGCCGATAGCAACTTATATTAAAAGGAAGAAGAATAAGCAACCTGCACTAAAAAGCAAGAAGAACAAACAACCTGCACCAAAAGTTCTTTAATATACTTGCATAAACCCTGAGCAGTTTGTATTATATATTGTATATAGGTAGGGCTCTAATTTATTTGTAAAAGGGTATCCCTATCACCCACATCATTTGAGCTTTGCTTTTCATGTCTTTATATCCTACACCAGCTGTGGTATAGGATACATTAAGTTTGGATGGACATATGTAATACGCGATCGATTTAAAATAGACCCACCTTTTTTATACCGATCGATTTAGAAACATTTTCCGTCTGCCCAAGTAAATTTCTGTTCAGGCTACATACAGATCGCAATTTTTGAGATATTTTGAGGAAATTTTATACACTGACGTGCTTCGACCCAAGGACGAACGCTATTCAAAAAAAAGTTTGGATTGCTTTTTCCGATCATTCTTCATGCGACGCCGTATTTTCAAAAGTCGTCATATGGAAAAAAATTCAATTCCTAAAGTTTGCTGACAAAACTTGCTCTGTGATAGCAGCTGGACATTCTCAATTGGTATGAAAAATTTGCTTCAGCTGTGGCACTTGTTTGCACCCTCCCCCATATAACCGTTCCTACGACAACTGAATCTTTATATAGAAGATAGATATAATTTTTAATGTGTTGTGGTAAAAAATTACTTATAATAGTAAATTGACATAGACATTCACCTTCCCGAATTTGGACGATGCAGATCTAGGAGCAGTAGTGCCTTCAGATCGATTCAGTCATGCGGTTTCAACATTCTGAAGAAGTATGAAAATTATTCAATCATTGGATCGCTGCCAAATCAATAACGTTGCCAGAGAGAAGGGGGAAAGTTGTAGAAAATATTTGGATCAACATATATTCTATTCATTTTCTTAATAAATGTCATTTTCAAGTGAAAAAATGGCCAAAATATGAAAGCACCTAACATTTATAGTGCTTTTGCCTTAGCGATGGAAATCGTGTACATAAGGAAATTTCTGAAATTAGATTTCGAAATGACTTATTACAGCAACAGATTGAATGGGCTTCGCCTTTTCGCTCATCCTATAACCATCGCGAAGTTCGATTATTTGGAAAAGATGAAGCACTTTCTGAAGCAATTGGTGGATTGTGCTCCTCTTCAACTTCGCTCAAGTGGACATTTGAACATTACATTTATATCTTTCATTTATTTTATAATTGGAAACGTATGGTAAGGAAATCACTTTTTTTCAACTTTTCACAACTTTGCGATTGTGTTGTCTTTTATCAACTGCCAATTCGAGAAGATTTTCAAAAACTGTTTGATTAATTTTGATTTTTATCCACCTCAATTCGCAAGCATCTGAGAGTAATGAAATGAGCGGGCCTGAAAACCACTTCGATTCGCAGTCATCTGAGAGTAATTTAAATGAGCGGGCCTGAAAACCACCTCGATTCGCAGCCATATAAGAGTAATTTAAATGAGCGAGACTGAAATCCACTTCTTACAATGTTTTTGTTCTTCTTTAGTTTATTCTTGTAGCTGAACTTTGCTTACAGGTTTAACTTTTCCATTAACAAATCTTCAGTTGCTGACATACTTCTGAAAAAAGAAATGAGCACGAAGATAGCATCCCATCATATTAATAATCAAATTTATCTACCTTCATAGGGTAGAAAGAGTCTAGTATTAAAACTATTCAAATGTTTTTGGGTTTTAAGCAAACGGAAACGAAATCCCTTCTTATAACATGCATATGCAAACGTTGCTTTGGCTGATTTTAGTTTTTCTTCGCACGAGTTAAAAAATGTTAAAAAAGAGTGTAATTATTGCATCTTTTCAATAAAATATTTTTATTTATTTTTCCCGGGCCGGTGAATATGCATGGCACGACCAACATTCCCGATTCGTTCTCTTAACTCATCATCAATATTGATCAGAATCTCCTCGAGAACTCTCCGCATTTCTCGAATCTCTTTTGAGCACTTCGCTTTATTTCAGCAGTGGCATAAATTATGTGCATTTTATATTCATTTTCAAATTTCTTTTCACACTCGAAAACTAATTCTAGTATAAGAGCAACACTCTTTTTCGTGTTGTATATTAGCGATTTCGAATTTGGTGCCATATGAGAGTAATTAAAACAGCGACTTCGAATTTGGTGTCATATGAGAGCACGTTCGAATTTGGTGCAATATAGGAGTAATTAAATGAGCGGGTCTGAATTTGTTTACAATTGAGACAGAATAGAAAAAACGAGTTTGAATTTGGAAGCATTTGAGAGTAATAGAATTAGCGCGAAGAGCTAATTTACTTTGCCGTACATTTCTTATGGATGCCCTGAAAAAATGCTGAGAATATAAAATTCAATTTCTGAGCGTAAAATTTACTTTGTTGCAAACAATAGCACGTGCATGGCAAATGTAAACAAAAATTAGAATTTGCAACAACAACCATGCACGGGACAAACTTTACAAGAACAATCTCACTTAAAAAAACTTTAAAAATATTGGTTTTTTTAACAGGGCTGTAATAAAACTTTCATACCTTTTTGCAAACTTTTTTGCCAAACGTATATTATAGCTTAGAAGTTTGATAAATATTCCTTTTAGGTTTTTGATAAAGAATTCAATTCATTAATCTAAAATTAAAATAATAATAATAATAAAAATATAAAAATTATTTTAAATCTTTTTACTTTGTTGCTTATTATTACAATAAAATGTATCCCAATCATCTATCCAATCTGATTTCCTAATTGAATGTTATTATTATTATTATTATAAACTTAGCCAGAGAATAAATTCTAAGACTAAAAGTCTTAGAACACTAAGGCTTTCGGCTTTCTACCGCACTTGAGATTTGAACCCACGACCACTGAAGTTGCTAGTCGAGACTCTTGCCTACTCGACCACTCAAGCGGATGAAAATTGAATGTTATTTATGTTACTTATACTGAAGACGATGATGGTACTATTTTGCAATAATATTCTGTGCAAGCCCAAAGTTCTAGGTTCCCACGTAAGTAAAGCTTTCACGCCTTCTCAAATCTGCGCTCATTTACTTCTCCTTTAAATTGCCAGAATTCGAAGTTTTGTCACAAAAATATTTTTCGACATTCACGATTTTTTTTGATATTTTCTGATTTAACCAACTCTACGTTCAGCTTCATTGGTGTTCATAAAATCTCTTTTAAAATGGACAAATCGGAAAGCTAGTTATAAAAGCGAATATATTACATTTCCGATAGTAATGATTTTAAAGATTAGTAATAATAATAATAATAACAATAATAATATTGATGACAACGATAATAAATAATACTCGTAATCAACAGTTGTTATATATATTAGTTTGGGGAAAAAGAAATCCATTCTTTTTATATGAATTCCAGGACTTTATTTAACATGCTTCGGATTGTCCGATTTGGGTCAAATATGCACCGTTTTGTTGTATG